ATTGATGCTGAAATGACAACTGAAATGTCATGACAGTTATGCATGCAGCTGACAGTCCGGGCGAGCAGGATTGAGATGGGTTGAGAAGCTGGGTTAAGAGTGCTATTTTAACAACTTGAGGCAGCTGCAAGAAAGTCGTCTGCCTGCCTGCCAGCCTGCCTGCTACATTTGATGATTATCTTCTATATGTCCAGGCACCACCGCAATTGAAAAGCAACTACGAACTCAGCCAGCAGTGGATAATGGTGCGAGCGGGTTCTGTGAATTTGCAGTTGGCCAAGCTGCTGACAATTGTTTTTGCTCAGGCAATTGGATTTGCGTTGAGTTGCGTATTGTTCGCATGCTGATATGAATGCCCAACGAGCTTCAGCTTAATATTAATATTAGTCTTTGACAATGGCACAGAACTTGACTCCGAAGTGGATGTCAGCGGGCGCAATGGGAGTTGCCAGCTGCAAGCTTCAGCCAGACAAAGAAAATGCCAGATATGGGAAATGCCATTTAAGTAGAGCATGTTTAACTAGCAAGCATTTACAGCTTACTCGTCTTTGCCACTTGAAATAAATACATGTTATTAACTTTAGATTCACTTACAAGTGAATGGTTTTTGGCTAAGCCTTAAATGGTTGCACATACCAACTATCAGCATTATGGTTTTCCCAGAATCATGAAGCACTTTCTGACACTTTTGGGCATATTCATAAATCAACTGAACAGACATTCTGATAAAATTTGGTTAAGAAATCTGTAGCATATAGAAGGAAACATATCTGACCCCATAAAGGATATATATATTCTGAAGCAGCATCAACAGTCGGGTTGATGTAGCCAGTTTTAACAACAAATTTTCGTCAAACTTAAATACATATTATTGTACACAAATTATTGTACACAATCTTTTTGATATGCAAAAAGCTTACAGCTAAGCAAAAAAAGTAAAAGAGCTTTTAATAATAGGTGACTGCGGCATAATTATGAATGAAAAGGTATTAAAAGCTGACGTTTCACACAAATTTGTATCCCACCACTAAGCCAAGCATCTTTCAACTTTTCAAACACACACAAAAACAAAAACAACCGCAAGAAAATGCAATCAACGCGTCCTTGACAAAATAAATTTGCCAGCCACTTTTAAGCTTTACGGGCAACAGTCGAGAGCACATTTGCAGCAAAAGAAAAGCCAATTATAATTAAAACAAATTCCATTTTGCCTTATCAGCGTCGAGTTATCAAGCACGATAGCGGCCCAGGGGAAAAACTTGCCCCGTGTGGCTGGGAGGGCTGTGGGGCGCACAGATTGTAACGAGGGCTACACAATATACTGTACTGAAAATGTATTTTTATTTGCTAGTTGCCGCAGGGCTACGCACTAACGACACTCAAATCAAATGCGATAATCTATGACCCGAGGGGCAGACAGGACGCAAAAAGGCTGTCATGAAAAAGAAAACAAAAAAAAAAACAAAATCAGAAAAAAGGAGAGAAATAAGTAGCCGCACTTTATATTTATGAGTAGCATTCGCATGCAGCTTTAATGGCCAAGTGGCTGGCCAGCTGAACGACAAAAAAATAAGTAAATATGCGCTAGTCAAGTGTGAGACCTGGATATACCCTGTAACGTAATTGTTCTGAAATTTTCTCTCTTGTCTTTGCTGTATAGGGTTTAAGCCCTGGATGTCGTGTGAGCTGTTCGGGCGCCGAACTCTTAGCCTTCAGCTTACCAAACACAAACTACAATAATGCCTTTTCCATTTCACAAGTACAGGGTATATGAGCGAAGTAAAAAAAAATTGCTATGAGTAATGGAAAAATGAGTGACTCGCCATCTGGACAGGGGACAGGTGGCTGGTGGAGAGCTGGTGACGCCCACAAAAATACATTTCCTTGGATTATTTAACTACTATTGATGGCGGCGACGGCAAACGGCAGGACATTGAGTAGGACCCGGGACAAAGGGCGTAGAAACGTCGAAACTCTGCTGAATGAATGGATAAGTGAAAGGCAAACGAACGAAGAACAGAGAAACGAAACGGAATGAATGCCACGGGGCATGGGGGAGGGGGAAATAAAAATAAAACGCAAAGGGCGCCCGCGGCCCACCCAAAAAGTGGGGTTGCAAAGCGGCGGGGGCGTGGCGACAACTCGTAGCACAGAAGCCACGAAAACCAATGCAGAGGAATCGACAATCAGCTAAGAAAAAAAGAAGCAAAAGAAGAAGTACAAGAAGCGATTTTGGGTTACCTGGGGGCAGACAAAAATAAAAAGAAGAAGACGTGTGGCAGAGGCAGAGGCAGAGGCAGAGTAAGGGTAGGCCCGGTTCGGTTATTTATTTGCTCGTTTATTTTCAGCACTTTTCGACGCATTTATTAGAAGTTGTTGCCGTAAGCGTTGAGCAAAATAGCAACAACAAATACAACAACAACCGCAGGGAGCAGTAAAAGAAGAAGCACTTGCCACTTGCTATTTGGGGCGGAGGCGATTGCTGTAAGCAGGGTATTACGAAGGTGGGTGGTTGCCTAATGGCTGCTTAAACAAAGAAATGCTTAAGCAAAAAATATGAAAGACAAAAAATATATATATTAGGTTAGACACGCACGCGAAGAAGAGTACAAAGAAAAGCTGAGCTATAAAAACCTTGACGATATCGGCGCCATCTAGCGCTGGCAATTTGAACTAGCTGACACGTTGTCAGCGTCAGGCGTTTCTTGGCGAATTGAAAATCATTTGTAAATCAAATTTGAAAATGCTGCCTGAAAAGCAGATAAAAGGATGCACATAACGAGGTGGCGGGCGTCGACTGCTTTAAAGCAGGCAAAATCTTATGGGGGAGGGAGATTTTGTGTATTTGTTGCTGTGGCAACGGGAAATTTGTCAAATTCAGCGAACATCATTCGTCATGACTTTACTTCATGCGCTGATTCCGATTCAATTGGGTTTTGCAGATGGAGCTGGGCAGATATGCGGGCCCTTCCCCTAGCATTCACATTGGGTTTTGGTTGGGATTATTGGCAGCGAACTTGCGTGGGGCCTGACATTGGGGCTTTGTCAGGATAAGCAGGGCAGAATGTTGACTGCTGCTCCTTCTGCGGATGATGATGCTGCGGTTTGCCGGACAGACAGACTGACTGACTGACAGACAGACAGACAGAGCTTAGCTTGACTCTCGACTGTCATTCACGAACTTCTTAATTGTTTGTTATTAATGATGCCATTGTTGTTGCTGTTGCTGTTGCTGTTGCTGTTGCTATTACTGCTACTGCTGCTGTTGGCTGTCAAATTGAAAATGACAAAAATGAATGGCCAGACACAGTCAGTTAAGCTTTCGACTGACTTTGATGAATGCCGCCTGGCAACCGCCACAACAAAACTAATTGATTGCCCCTACCTATGGAGCTGGCCACACCATACACACACAGAGACTCTCAAAGCACAGCCTACAAAAAGCAATCGCAGCAAATTAATACAAGCACTTTTCACGCCAATCACACACACAGCTACACAGAAACATACACAGCCAGTGTCCATCGAACTTGAGCAGCTGAGAATCACAGAGAGAGGACAAAGCATAGTGCGTGCTATAAATAAATTGACGCTCGAGCAATTTTCAATAAATGGCAGCACTTGTCTTTGGGAGTGTCGCCCAATCCAAACAGACTGCTTGACAATCAATAAGGCAAAGCGCAAGGGGGCGCAGTTGTGGGGCTCGTAGGGGGGTAGCTCGTCTATTATTCGAGTTAATAGAGGTAGTTTTTTAAAGTGTAAAACGCTTGAAAACCATTTGGCTTTTTGATGGGCGCACATAAATTTGCGATTATGCGGTTCATTACATAACGAAGAGCTCTCATCGATATAATGGGCACAATTTGCAGACTTTTCCAGAAACTTGCTTTGCCTTGGATTATGTTTATGCTTTGGCAAATATTTGTTTATGCGTCTAAAGTCGCTTTGACTTATCGATGTTTGACTCGGAAATGGCACGAATATAAAATATATACTTTAACAGTTTACAGTTGTTGTCACCATTAACATTTCAAGACTATTTTAAGCACGGGAAATGCGCAGAATTAGTAAACATTATTTGGTGTTTTAGCTTAGCCGGGATGGAAGGAAATTGATGTAGTATATACCGAATCCGCATAATTCTTCATATTTTAGAATAGTGACTTAATTCGGAGTATAGATGTGAGTCTACCCGTCAACATAGATGAAATTTGTATGATACGTAAAAGCGAAGTTAGTAGAGAGGGGGGGTAGAGTTAATTCGCACCAGTCGGATAGGCAGCGATGAGAGCCCAGGGGATTAATTCCGCCCGCGACCTGCCTGGTTTCCCATGTCGAATGATGAGAAAGCATTCATTTTTAATTGCACTTAATCTCGACTCTTTATTGCTATTATTCTCAGTATTAGTCTGGCTGCACCGCTACTCTTAATTATCTCCATCTAAGCTCACTAGTGCCCACGCTTTGGCATCTCCTCTAACTCGTAATTGTAGCCATACCTTAGCACTTCTACGACCCCTAGTGTTCCTTATAATGTTCTATTACTCACGGTTGCTTGATTCAAAGCGAAGTTGATACGCAGAGAGGGCCGAAAGCATGGCAAAGCTTTCGACCCACTCTCGAGAACTCCCTACTCCTACGCTCGTCCTGTTAATGTTACCCTAGCCAGAGTTGCTATTAACTTAATATTTAATCTGCCCACTTCATTCTTACATATGTTTTTCTATACCTATTGTTATCCTGCGACGTAATGTTACATAGATTTTATCTATGCGCATAGGTAAATGTTTACAGCCATTTGTTATTTTACTTTAAACTTTAAAAACGAGGGAGAAATATTTATTGCCGTAATACCGTATCCTAGAGAACACTATTATTGGCAATGTGTCCAGTAAGCCCCATGTTAATAATTTTGTATGGTACATCTAATTCACACCAGCCACTCCCAGCTGGCCAGATGTGTTGTGTGCCCAGTGTTAAATCTATGCCCAGGTACTCACCGTGGTTGTGGCCTGCGTGGTGGCCGTGTGCGGCGTATAGGCGGCATATGCCGGTTGGGGCAATGGCGCCGTATAGCGATAGGCCTGCTGGGCGACCGCAGCGGCGGCAGCGGCAGCAGCGGGTGCATAGCCCTGCGGTGTCCAGCTGGTTGCACCGCGATAAGGGGCGCCCGCTGCTAGAGCGGCGCCAGCAGCAGCAGCAGCTGGGCTGGTCATGGCCGGTGGACGCTGTGGGATGGCGCCTTTGAGTGCTACGGCTGAGGCGGTCAACGGTGCGCCGGGAAAAGCGCTTCGCGGCGTTGGCGGTGCGGCTGCGACGCTAGCGGCACTGGACGAGCCCTGCAATCAAGAGAAGAGGTGAACTACTGAGTGAGATATACATTGTATGTAGGGTATGTGTGTATGTGTGTGTGTGTGTGTGTTTTGCATGCATAAATAATGCAGCGCATGGATTTTGGTTGTTTTTCGGCTGTTGTTGTTGTTGTCATAAATAGAAACCACAGCACAGCAGCTGGCTCTAACGGTTGGCGAAGCTTTGTTTACCGCTGGCAAAAACCGCCATGACATCCGCCATGACACTCACACACACACACACACAACCACAGATAGAGGCTGCAGGTTTTTTTTTAGTTTATTGAGTGCCAGCTCGTCACAAAAACAAAAACAGAACAAGAGGTAAACAACAGAGCATGGGTCATAAATAAATTTTTGCACTACGTGTGGGTGTGCGGCAGATGCAACAGTCGTGCGACAGCCTCGTGTGTCTGTCTGTGTGTGTGAGTGTGTGTAAGTCCTTGCTGGCTCGTCGCGCTTCCTGTGCTCCAGTTTTGCATTGCAAATGCATTTGGCTAGCAGAAGCTTTTGGGCCATTTCTTGCCCTGTTCGTTTTTGTTGCCAACAGGCTATAAACACAAATAACTCTAGGTTTTTCCTTATATTTTTTGTTTTATATATCAACTGATATATTTGAATGCGCTGAACTGTGCACACACACACACAGACACACGCACATACAAGTTTTTTGCACTGCAGTTTACAAGGTGAATAATTTCGTGTTGTGAATTCGCATTTCTTTCCTCTAACCATTTTTTAGTTTTGATTGCAACCACAGCTCGCAAATTTGTTTTTGCCGAAAAACTCAAAAAAAGGCCAAACCGGAAACAACAAAACGCCATTTTGTTTGGTTGATTGGCTCAGCGGATGCGAATGATTCTCATAGCTTGCTGCCGCGCTGCAATGTGCAACTCGCATCGTGCAACTCGCAACGTGCAACTTGCAACTTGCGACTTGCGTTGCGTGTTCTTTGATTTTTTCGACTGCGAAAAAATATGGCAAATGTTTGGATTTGGTTTTGCGTTTTGTGTATTTCAACGTCGACGCTGGCATTCAACATTGCCAGTTAATTTTTGTGTGCATGCAATTTGAATGCGGTTGCGCCACTGTCGAAGTGATGGGGCAGAGGCACGTCGGGAAGCGGGCTGCTCTGTAATTTGGCAGCAAAATGACAGAGGCAAAGTAGAAAAAAAAGTACAGCTACGCTTTCAATTTGAGGTGCTGCAATTTGTGGCGGTTGTATGTCAAGTTCTTGTTGCCACAAAAAGAAAAATAAATAAATAAATAAACATGCAACTTGAAGTTGCCGATTGCAATGGGTTTTGAGGGTACATATAGTAAAGGGCGGGCATATAAAGAGGTATGTAATTGGTAATGTTACATTTTAGCAGGTGGATAATCAGATCAGCTGGAGCCTTAAATAAAAAGCACGGTGAATACTATTTGATAATTGGGATCTGTACATACAGATGATTAGAAGCTAACAAATAACTTTTTTGATAAGAATAAATTGAATAGTAGATATTTACTCATCGCTGAGGCCATGAGAATAGTTCGAATGTTGAGCTGAGTTGTTTTTTCACTCACCTCTCAGCCTGTTCTCACTTATTATTAACCTTCGATTCTCGCTCTTAAGTGTCTCTGTTTACCTCTTACTAAATAATATACGTTTTACCGTACTCTATCTATTTTTAAAGCCCTTTTCGCACAACTTTATAGTATACCATTTTTTCTCACTTTTTGTTAATCTTACACAATCCTAACCCTAGATATCCCTCTCTCTCTATTTCAAAATGTTCTTTGTTCCATTCTCTTCTACTTCCTCTAGAGCTACCTATCATACTTAGAAATCGAATCTTTTCCTTTGAACTATGAATATTATTGAAATATCGTCCAAATTTCTACTAAAATGTTATCTATAGATACCTTTAATATTTGTAACTGAAGATGTGGCACCTCAGAAGAGATTGCTAGCCAAGAATTTACCTAAACTGCCACAGGATACGCTTCCGTATATGCACATATAACATTTTAAGCCATATTACGCCCGCCTCCTTAAAATCGCAAGCTAATAAGAAGAAGGAGAAGTTTTACGGTTATGCGCATATCCCCAACTTCCTAACTCCCATCAATTGCTTCAATTTTGGGCCATAAAAACGAACTGGCAAACATTTTAAGCGCACAAATGCAATAAATTTAAGCCGCTAAATTAGACACGTTTGGCACATTGTGGGAGCCGACACCCTGCCCCTCCCCTTACCCACGTAACCAAAACACCTACACTTATATAGCTAAATATATATGTATGTATATATACTATATATACCGGTGCAATTGCTATCGCTCGTTTCACGACTGTCGCAGGCCCCGCACTTCAGCCCCGCCGCCTGGTGGAAATAATCATAAAGGTAATTATTTTATCGTTCGTTGAAATTCGCTTAATTTCGACGTCGGCTGAAAAATAAAATAAAATACGAAAAAAAAAAAAATAAATGAAAAAGCGACGAGACCGACTAATGGAAAATATGAAGCTCAAGCGCCTAGTTCGGCTGCCTAACCAAAGGGACGTAAACATGGGCGCTAGGCGAAGGGAACAGGAGCGGAGGTGTGGGTGGAGGGGGGGAGGTAGGTAGCAGGGCAGCTGTGGCAGCGCAGCAGACAGCAGGAAGCAACAGGGCAGGGGGAAACGTGGTGGGCACAAGAATGAGGACGTGATTAATTATCAAATTGGGAGCCATTATCGCGTGCACTTCGTGGAGGGTGTTATAAAGTTTGTGGCACTCACAGACACACACACACACACACACACACTTACACTGAGTCACGAAAAAGGGACTCTATTTGTTGTCGCATGCTCTGCGCCTCGTCTCGTCTCGTCTCGTCTCGTCCCGTTTCGTTTTGGTTTTATTTTTGGTAATTTCGTCGCGTTTTGAACATTTTGTTGACGCTTTTGTTCTATTCTATTAGATATTTTCGTTCGCCATTTTAATGCAAAGAGCGTTACGTGCCACGCCCTCGAAATTTTGCTACTGCTTTCTAGATTTCGGTTTGGTCGTGCCCTGCTACTGCTACGCGCCGCGCCGTCTTCCTGCCTGTCTGGCAAAGGCAAACAGCGTTCGGGCCAAAATCAAGCGCAAAATATTAATGATAATAATTTATTACGAACTGACAGGTAGACAGGGCAAAAGAGGGGGAAACTGTCGCATGAGGAGGAGATGGGCTGCAGGGAGTTGTCGTTGTCACGCCTTACTCATGGCCACTGATAAACGCTTTGTGATTAGCGCTCCAATTGTTGTTGCTGTTGTTGTTGTTGTTGTCGGGTGCTGCTGCTTCTCGACAGCCATTGTCATTTTTATTGTCATTTTGTAAATTTATGCGCAACTTCGAGTTTGGGGTTTTTTTTTTTTTTTTTTTGAGTACGTGAGCTTGTATAATTGGTTGGGTTGGGTAAAGCGTGTGTTTGCACAGGCCAGAAAGCCATTTGGGCCCGCACAACAGACAAATATTTCCACTTTAAGCTGACTTTGTGTATTTAAAGTTTTTTCAAATCTATAAATAAATAAAAAAAAGGTTTATCTATGCGAGTTGAGCTGCATTATAAGGCATATTTATAACGAATGCCTTATAGAAAGCCCAGTAGCTAACTTTCCGAGGTCAAATTAAACTTTTGATAGTCTGTATAGAGGTGCTTACATTTTTATAAAAATGAGTCTGCCATTGGAAATTAGGATTTTTAGCTCGTTACAATATGTTTAACTAGCTTAAGTTCAAGTTAATACTTTTATGTCTCTTTATGTTAACCTTGTTAAACTGAAACTTTTTTGTAATTTCAATTATCCTGTGAAATCTGCGCAATCTTTTAAAGTTTCTCGTTTTTAGCCCCAAAAGTCCCATAAATTTCATACGATGTTTGTAGCGCGTGCCAAGTTTTCTTTTTGTTGTTTTAAAAACTGCACTTAAAAACTTGATATACAAAAATTTCAGGCTCAAATTTCAAATTACTTAATGCAAAACTAGTTGAAAGAAAGCAAAAGCCGCGCTGCAGGCGGTTCACTTGCCAATGCAAAGTCCAAAACAAGAGCAGTGCAAAAGTAGAATGCATAATATTTGCATTCTGCTTAAGAAACGTCTGCACACACACAAACACACATACACACCCACACACACATCGTATATATGCATTGGCAGGTTGTGTGACTCTTTGCATAATTCATATTTTCCAACCACTTATTGTTTAAACTAAATAAAGCAAAAACTTTTTCCATAATTAAAACCGTCGCCAAAGCTGCAGAAAGTCGCTGGGGGTGGCCGGGCATGCCCCACCCCCGCCACCCTGCTCCATATGCGCTGCGGAAGAGGCGCAAAAGCAGAAACAAAAGAATTTTCCTTTTCAGTCGCAAATTTTTTCCCTTTTTGTACCCTGGCGAGAAAAAGTGCGCAGGGTATATGAAAATTGTTTCAAACTAGGAATGCAATAGCAAAAAGTAGCTTTTTTTGCTACAGGGTATCTACATGTCGTTGCTCTCTATTGCTAATGCTGCTGCGCTTCAGCCTAGCCCATTTAAATTCTATGCGGTAAATTAAATATTGTATTGTCCTCGCATTGGGCATGAAAATTCGCGAGTGAAAATGCGCCACATAATAATCAAGGGGTGGGCGTGGCATGGTCCAAAAATAGCAGCAACTAAAATCGGCAAAACAAAAACGCGACAGGAGCCGCAGCTAAAAATGAAAATGAGCGAGAGCCAACATAAGAAAATAAAAAAAAAAACAAATGCACATTTTGTTGCTTTTGTTTTTCTATGAATATGCACATGTGAGAGCTTGTGTGTGTGTGTGCGTGGGCGTTGCATATATGCAACTTTTTCAGCCTATTTTGCATATTTCCTCTGACGTTTTCTATAGACCTTTATGCCATGCCCAACGGGCAGAAAGGGAAAGCATCCGAGCTGGGCATTTTTTTTTCGCAATTATTTTATTTCCATTTTGAATTTTCACTACTTGTT